AGAGGCCAATGAGTCCAAACCCATTTTATAGAGCAGGAAGCTGAGGTCCAGAGAAGTTCAGAATCAATCTGCCTCCAAGTTAATGTCAAGAAGTCAAAGACCCCAGACTTAAGCCCACAGTTCTAACTTCCAACACAGCATTCTTTCCCGTATACTCCCACTACTTCCTTGGTCTCATTTTAGCCACTTCACAAGAATCGTTTTTGCTCTGTGGATTTTTGGACGGTCTAATTTTATGATGATAATCTTAAGAGTCCCAATCATGGAATGTCATTAGGAGGAAAATAACCGTTATTGGGTGAATTCTAACGAGCCAGGGAAGATTTCTGAGCAGAGAAGTAATAGGACAGGACCAAATGCATAAAAACAAGGATTCTGATGGTCTTACAAAGAATGAATCTGAGTGGCAACATAATGGGGATGGGAAGTCCTGTAACAAAATTCTTGCAATATTCTAAGTGAGAGGTAATGAGGACCCAGGCTGGGGTGGTAGAAGGAAGTGAGAAAAGGATATGGCCATGAGAGAATCAGAGAACAATGGTATCAATAAGGCTTTGTAACTGCTTCACTATGAGAGGTAAAGGAAAAGAAGGAATCTGACTTATTACTGAGGATTTGAAATTGTGGTACTGGGTGAAGGGTAGCAATGCAGACAAATAATAAATTCGAAGGGAGGAGCAGGTTGAGGGGAAAAGACAATGAATTCTCTTTGAGACAAATTGAAGGTGACAGTGTAGATATGTTTAAGGTATTTGACTATCCCACCGTAAGTTCCCCAAATAAGATATTTGTTTTTCCCTTCAGGTTTCAACTTGGTTCAAAACCATTTGAATCAATGAGAGAAGAGGGGATTTTGTCTATATCTGCAAATTTTACGAAGCTGATATTCAGCTGAATATTATATGTTGAGAATATCTGCCCTCACGGAGCTTATAGTCTAGCATAGGCTATATAGCAGTTGTGTGTATAACAAAAAGCATTTTAATTTTAGCAAAGCTATTTTCATTTTTGGCACCTCAGAATTGTCTTTATTTCCTTTTTTTTTTTCAGCCAAAGACAAGGTTTATTAAAGATCTGCCATATTGGCCAGACTCTTAAAGAATCTGAACATTTGTGAGCTATTGGCTAGATTATAAGAATCTGAGCAGTGGCTAGATTTTAAGAATCTCGGCCATCTTTATTCCTTATAAACCAGTCTAGAGAAGTATAGTGGATAGAATACTGGACTTGGCGTCAAGAAGACCTGAGTTCAAATCCTTCCTCAGGCACTTAACTAGCTATGTGATCCTAAGCAAGTCACTTAACCTTTTTCACCCTCAATTTCCTCATTTCTAAGATGGGGATAATAGCAGCTCCTACCTCACAGGAGTGTCATGAGAATCAAATGGGAGAATGTGTGTAAAGAATTCTGTAAACTTTAGATATAAGTTACCATTATTCTTATTGTCTAAAATTTGACAGTCATCTAAGACTCCCCCCCCCAAATCTAAGCCTGTACAGATAGAGCGTAGAAATTCAAGCAAATAACTGAAAAAGTTGTTCTAATGATGCTTGATTGTATCAATTTTTTTTGTACCAAACCAACGAGGTTTGCTTGGTAACTACAGAAATTGACTCGTTTCGACGTTCATAGTTACTAAGCAAGACTTGTTGGTTTGGTTTTGATCCTCAGTATTTTCACATCACTTAACTCCACCTGTCTCTTCTCAAATTTTGGCAGATTGCAGAACTATATATAATGACCCAGCCCCTGATGATGAGGGTTCTGACCACCGAACCCCCAGTGGTCAGTCTAGAACCGAACAATTTTACCCTCAACATCCCTGGTTCTGTCGTGATGCTGACCAAACCTAAAAACGCCACCGAGGAAGCTATTGTCTCTATGGATTTTGTAAGTAGCCAGACCAAGGGAGGTGAATTCCACTCAAAGACCCCCAAATAGCTTTCATTCAATGGAGCACTGGCCACATGCTTCCTCAGTGCCTGGAAGTATTTATGGTTTCCCAGGACCTGCTGAGGTCTTCCTTCCTGATGGGCTGGAAAGACAACAAAAAGATAGCTACCCATCAAATTGGCAGGCAATAATTTAGAAATGCAAAGAAACTCAATGCTAACAGGAATATGGAGAAATAAGTACACTCATTCATTGCCGGTGGGATTGCAAACCTGTGGAATATTTTTGGAGAACAATATGGCATCACACTGAAGCAGCTAGGTGGCACAGTGGATAGAGTGATGGGCCTGGACTAAGGAAGACCTGACTTCAAATCCAGCCTCAGAAACTTACTAGCTATGTGACCCTGTCACTTAACACCATTTATCTCAGTTTCCTCATCTGTAAAATGATCTGGAGAAGGAAATGGCAAACCACTCCAGTATCTTTGCCAAGACAATCCCAAATGGGATCACAAAGAGTTGAACATGACTTAACATATCAGACATGATATAACAAAAAATTAAATGCTAATAATTATTTTGAGTAGTATTTTATTTTTTCTCCAATTACAGGTTAAAACCATTTTAGAAACTTTTTTTAAAAAGTCTTGCGTTCCAAATTCTATCCCTCCCTCCCTTCTCTCTTCACTTCCTGAGACGGTATGGAATCTTCTATAGGTTATACATGAACAATCACATAAAACATTTCCCTATTAGTCATTTTTTACAAGAAGACTTGAATAAAAAGAAAGGATGAAAGAAAGTGAAAAATAGCACGCTTCAGTCTGTATTCAGACAGTATCTGTTCTTTCTCTGGAGGCAGATAGCATGCTCTATCATGAGTCCTTTATTGTCTTAGATCATCATATTCCTGAGAATAATTCTAATGGTTATTACAGACATTTGGTCAGCTGTTTTTAATGTTCAACCTTTTCTTTTTTTAATTTATCTTTTCCTTTTGCATCACCTTAAAGCCTAAGTGTATGTTTCCATCCCCAAAGGGCAATCCCACTTAGTGATGAATAAAAAAGGTTGAGAGGACAGGAGCATGGAAAAATACCTCAAAACTAGCCAATGCATCATTTCAGTGTTGTGCTATATTGTATTCCATCCTCAGAGTCCCCTTCTACCAGCAAGGAGAAAGGAGAATTTATTTCTCTCTTCCTCAGGGCAAGCTTGATCATTACGATCACCAATTATTGTCACCATTAATTTTTTAATAAAACAGTTAACCATGTTTAAAAGACAATTGAGAGGGAGAAAGGAAGTGTGATAAAAGCAGGTAAGAACTGTCCTCCCTCTCCTCCCCACCCCCATAAAAGCTGGTGTCTTTTCAAATCCGTTCCTTAGAAAGAGGATTTCTTGAGCTAGATTATATTCCAGACAATGGAGTTTCTGCATTTTCAGTTACGGAAGAGGCCAGTGTTTGAATCTGAAATGACATTCACTCAGCCCAATAATCAAAGTGTTTGGTCTTTTGCAGGTGGCTAGTACTGATGTTGGCCTGGCTATTTTGGGACAAAAGTTGATCTGCTCTTTATCTCTGAACAGGTAAGATAAATCAGGTTTAATTGACTACTTTTCAGCAGTTTTGGAAGACCACATGTTCAAAATCAACATTAGGACAACAGGAGAAAAATCATTTTTTCTGTAGGAAAGAATGGGTTTTTTTAAGTGGAGCAGGGAAACTTAGCTGATAGGCAAGGACAGATAAGGACTTGGAATGCTGGGTTTTATTCTGTGGGCCTCTCTGTACTCATCTCTCCAGTGAGCAGGTCATACTAGATGGTTTCTTGGTTTTCTTATGACTCAAGTCTATAATTTTATAAGAGGTTCTGTGGAAAATAAAGGGCTAGATTTAAAGTCAAGAGGAACTGAGTTAGAATCCCACTTTAGATACTTACAGGGCAGCTAGGTGGCGCCATAGTGCACAGAGGGCTGGACTAGAGTCAGAAGGACTCATCTTCCTGAGTTCAAATCTGGCCTGAGTCACTTACTGGCTGGGCAAGTCACTTCACCCTGTTTGCCTCAGTTTCCTCCTTTTCAAAATGAGGCGAATGGGCACCAAGTTTCCCTCCAGCTCCACACCTATAATGTGACGCTTGGTCAGTCTAGTAAGACCACCTCCTTCCTTCACACCATACAAGTGTAGACAGATAAACATCTGTCAACAGAAGCATTCTATGGAACAGATAGGGGACCAGTCAAGTCAGAAAGCGGCTGGTACTGGGTCCCATTGGAGCGGAAGCTTTCCCAAAGGTGGGACAGAGAGAGTGCCCTATCGTTGATTTACCAAGCAAACTGCTGAGCTAAGTAATCTGCATCAATCTCTGCTTCACAAGTATTAAGGCAAGGAGTGGATGGGATAGGAAAGGGGGGCCTAGAGCCAGCTCAAATGCCTTCTGGAGAGCTGGTTGTTAAATTTCATTGTGAGCATTTATACCTGAGAAATAAGTAACACTACAAATCAGAGTTTGCTTTATTATGTATTGTTTACATTTTAAGAAAGTGATAGAGAAAATATTAATAATGCACATAAAGCTTAAAAGTGTGCCTAGGGTACATCCCCACCCCCATGCCCAGAGAGTCAGTTGTTAAACATTTGCCAGCACACCCGTGGACAAGCCCCTTCCCCAAGACCACTCGTGGAAATCCCAGGCCCCAATATCACAAAGTATCATGGACACTGGGCTAATGGTCCAATGACAAAGTTTCAAATCACAGCAATGAAAACACTTACTAGCTGTGAGACTTTGGGGAGGTCATTTTACACCTTGGTTTCCTCATCTGTAAAATGGGGATAATAATATTTGCATTTTCCTCAATGAACTGTTCTGGGAGCGGGGAATATTGGTAAACCTTGGAGCAATAAGTAAATGGAGAAGTTGTTGCTTTGCTGGTCTACTCGGTTTAGCTTAGATTTGCAAGAATCTCTAATAATGGGGGCTATTTGATGGGGAAGGGCGTGATCACAGTCCTCTGTTCAATCAGCCATCAAGTATGTATTATATGGCAGGAACTGTTAGGTGATGGAATAAAAAGGCAAAAATGAAATAGTCCTTGTGCTCAAGGGTCTTACATTCTAGAACAAGAAACATATATAAACTTTGTATGGGCCCACGGTTCTGTACTACCTAGTGCCGTGTGTGTGTGTGTGTGTGTGTGTGTGTGTGTGTGGACTCACACTGGTGATCAAGAAGTCACCGGTCTTTGTTGGTGAAGAGAATTTCCACACCGGGAGTTTTCCACACGATGCAGAAAAAAAGGCCCCAAGACACAGCCCTCGGCTAAGGACTCCAGCTGGAGCCAGGAGCTAAGATCAGAGAGGCTCCGTAGGCCAACTGAGCCATAGCCGGCAGAGGGCCAAGAACCAGGAGTCACCAACAACCCTCACTCTCGGGGCGGGCAGGCATGCTATCATGGTTACAAGCTGCACGGGACAGGTGGTCCCGTAATACAGCTACGTGAAAGAGTAAATGAGCTTTGAGGGGCTAGCCTGGGAAACCTAAAGGTCAGTCATCACATCCTTCCTGTGGAAAATACATTGTGTCTTGACACCAAGCCAACACAGAGCGCACAGCTGGGCCTTCATAAATGCGGTAGAATCATTGATTTAGAACTGCAAGTGGCCTTTGCAGAGACAGAGATGGTAGATTGAAGAAGTTAAGTGACTTGCCCAAGGTCACACAGGGAGTGAGGGGCAGAGTCAAGATTGACAAGATCACAAGAGCATAGATTCACAGCTGGAAGAGATGTTAGGGGCCATCCAACCCTACCCTTCATTTTACAGATAAGGAAAGAGCTCATTAACGTGCAGTGACTTGCCCAAGGTCATATAGATAATAATGAGTCAAGATTTGAAGCTTGTCTCCCAACTCCAAATACAGCATTCTTTTCCAAATACTCTTTGTTGTCCATTAAATGAACGAATGGATGTTGAATGAACTTATAAAAGAACTTTTAGAACCTACTTGGGTAAGCTGAGGGCTTGCCCCAGCATTTCCCAGAAGGGCAAATTTAATGATAGAGAACATATTTCTGCCTCTCTGTTCTTGCTAAATTTTTTTTTATTTTTGGCATTTTGAAATTTAAACAGTTCATCTTATATCTTTCAAAACTACTTTCTGACCTTCTTTCTCTCCAGGTTCCGTCTCTCTGGCCCAGAGTCTAATCGTAGTTCCATTGAGGTAAGATTTAAGAACCTCAGGTCTTGGAGGAGGCGTCTGAGCTGCCTCCCCACCTGCTGGCTTGCTGCCTTTCTGCCTGGATGATTATATCTTCTGCTTCAAGTATCTCTTTCCCTCTTTTTCTTTTCTGCTCCAAAAATCTTTCCCTCTCGCTGTTCCTCCACTCACCAGGCTAATTTGCTCTTTACAAAAGAGACTTACACTGTCATTCTGTGAAATCTATGCAAGGACTTTTGAAACAGAACATTCGGAAGACTGCTAGAGATCTACAGGATGTAGGAGAAGCAGTTGTTCTCAGGATTTCAAAGCCCATGAAAAAAAAAGAGTTTTAAGCTAAGTTTCTGGAGTTAAATTTATGCCCCAGAATCCCAAAGGAAGGGGGTAAATGGGCATTGTAGGTCCATATTTATTATCCTTGCCCTTTGAGGCTTTTGAGCTAGTTTCCTGGAGTTGTTTGGAGCATGGCTACCCAGACTCTGGGTGTGTGGGTGCCCCTGTGAGGCCACGTATCCTCCCTCTCCCCACCACTCTCATTGCTTTATGTGTTTCTTATCCCTGTAACTTGAAGAAGATCCAGTGATCAGAGTAACAACCTAGAAACCATCCTAGGGGCAGCTAGGTGGCACAGTGGATAAAGTTCCATCTTTAGAGTCAGGAGGATCTAAGTTCAAATCCAGCCTCAGACACTTGACACTTACTAGCCGTCTGACCCTGGGCAAGTCACTTAACCCCAATTGTCTCACCAAAAAAACCAAACAAATAAACAAAAAAAAAGAAAACAGAAGCCACCCTAGAGCTCAGTGGTACCAGCTAGAAAGGTAAACTCCTGAGTTTTATTTTGTTTTGTTTTCGATTGGAACATAGATTCATTAGTTTGGACAGCTAAAAGTCCAGTTTTTAAAATACACCCAATTAAATACTTGATAGGGGTAGCTAGGTGACTCATCTTTTTGAGTTCAAATCTAGCCTCAGATATTTACTGTGACCCTGGGACAAGCCATTGAATCTTGTTTGCCTCAGTTTCCTCATCTGGAAAATGAGCTAGAGAAGGAAATGGCAAATGCTCCAATGTCTTTACCAAGAAAACCCCAAATGGGGTCGCAAAGAGACTGAAAATAAACTGAACAACAAAGGTTGGGTTTTTTTAGCATGACAATAGCCTCTTAATAACTTAATAATTTCACAGCATCCAAATCTAAAAGGTTAAATTTTCCAATGATACAATTACATCATCCTCAACAGTATTTCTTATACAATGTTTCCCCAAAATTCATAATACGAAAAAAAAAAGTGAAAGGCAATTGGGGTTAAATGACTTGTCCAGGATCATTATTTGTCCTTTGTTCCAAAGACAACCATGACATCAGGAAGGTGACTTGGATTTAAGTTACACAGCTGTTAAGTGTTGGAGGTCAGATTTGAACTCAGGTCCTCCTGACTCCAGGGCTGGTGCTCTATCCACTGCACCCTCTAGCTGCCCCTGAAAGAAAATGTAAAAACACAATGAAAACATACTTCAGTGAGGAACTTCAGCTATCAGTGCAGATGGGCCTTTTCTCTTCCAGTTAAAGCCTTAAAGAGTTGCCCAGGGCACTGAGCAGAGTGACTTACCTGGGGTCACACAATTAATTTAGGCCAGAAATAGGACTTGAACCCACAACTTCATGACAGCAAGGCCAACTCCCCATCCACGATGCCATCTGCCACTTCACTTGCCCAGCCCAAGTCCTAGGGTCAGCATCACCAGGTAACAGTGGGATCCTCACAGGGCCCAAGGAAGAAACAGCAGCTCAGCTAAGAACTCCAGCTAAAACTAGAGAAGGTCTAGAACCCTGTGCCCAGTTAAGCCCTCCTGACAATTACTCTAGGACCAGGGGTTTTCACCCTTCTTTCTCACTGTTCCCCACATCAGTCACACGTAACATAAAAACAGCCATGTCAAGCATCCCAGTGGAATGGGAATAGGCCTGGATGTAGCAGCCGCAGAGCTGGGTATCAGGTGCCAGGATAACAGACAATGACTTCTTTTTAAATTTGCTTTAAGACAGAGGGAGGAAGAGCCTGAGTTACAGGTTGGAGGACTGACGGGGGAGTAGCCGGAGAGTCCTGTAGGTAGGAGGCAGGGCCTAAGGCCATCCTCGGTCCCAGAAGCCAGTAACACAATTAGACGGATGTCTAATTACAACCCCAGGTATAGCCACGCAGTGGGGAGGACAAACCCGAGTGTCCCAGAGGACACGAGTAAGCTTCTCTCCTACAGAGGCAGATCATGCCTTAACTCAGCAGGGCATTAAAGCAGATGGAAGCTGCAAAGGAGGTTCAGGCCAAACTCCCTTCTCATCGAGTTTAAGTGACTTGCCCAGGGTCACACAGCCAAAGGAAGGACTCAAACCCAGGTCTTTCTGTCTCTAAAGACTGGCTCTCTATCTACCACAAGCTATCACAACCACCCCTCCTTCATACTTCTGACAGACACTTGGGGCGGACAGACTGTTGAAATGGCTTTTCACATACTTATTTTGTAGCTGTTCAGTCATTTTCAGACTCTTCATGACCCCGTTTGGGGTTTTCTTTGCAAAGATACTAGAGGGGTTTACCATTTCCTTTTCCAGCTCATTTGCCAGATGAGGAAACTGAGGCAAATAGTGGTTAAGTGACTTGCCCGGGGTCACACAGCTAGTAAGTGTCTGAGGTCAGATTTGAACTCAGGGAGAGGAGTCTACCTGACTCCAGGCTCAGCACTCTAGCCACTGCACCCCCTAGCTGCCCCACATTCTTATCATAGTATTATAGATTTAGAACTGGAAGAAACTTCAGTCTCCTTCAAGACTGACCACTGCCCCCCTTCCCATTTTACAGATAAGGAAACTGAGGCATAGAGAGGTAGAGTGATTTGCCCAGGGTCACACAGCTTGCTAGTGTCTGGGCCAGTATTTGAACCCAGCTCGTCCTGACTCCCAGTCCAGTGGTCTTACCTACTGTGACTACACCATGCTGCCTCTTTTTGGATTAATCTTCACCCAGATCAGAATTGAACAAGGGTGAAGACTTGTTTGTACTACATAAGAATTTCATGGTCTGTGAGCTGCCCACTCATCTGTTTTATTCCTTTTTTGGGGGGGGTTGGGTTTGGCATTTGGGGTTGAGTGACTTGCCCAGCGTCACACAGCTAGTGAGTGTTATGTGCATGAGGCTGGATTTGAACTCAGGTCCTCCTGACTCCAGGGCCGGTGCTCTATCCACTGTGCCACACAGCTGCCCCCCACTCAACTGACTTGTTCCTTTGTTTCAGGTCCTGAGATTTGAAAACATTCTCTCCTCCATCCTTCACTTTGGAGTCTTCCCATTAGCCAATGGTAAGTCAGAGGGGTGCCACAGCATCCTTTAGTGACTAGGGCATATTAACAAACTATGTGATTCCTGGGGGTCAGTAAAGCATTTGGGAATATTCTCTATCTTGCACCCCAAGGCTGCTGCTTACTGGGGAATTGGTATTAATCCAGCCCAGGACAGTAGCAATCAGCATTCTTAAAAGGTTCTGAACCTTTTCTGTGTCATGGTCCCCTTTGGCAGTCTGGTGAAACCTATTCACCCCTTCTCAGAATAAATTTTTTTAAAATTCATAGTTGAAAGAAATGACAAATTTTTTTTTTGGGTTAGGCAATGGGGTTAAGTGACTTGCCCAGGGTCACAGAGCTAGTAAGTGTTATGTGTCTAAGGCTGGATTTGAACTCAGGTCCTCCTGAATCCAGGGCTGGTGCTCTATCCACTGCGCCACCTAGCTGCCCCAGAAATGACAAATTTTAGTTAGATGTTAGTGAAAATAAAGATCACACCAAAATTTGTAGATCCCCTGAAATTTACCCCTTTGAAATCAGAGGTCTGTGGACTCAATTAGAAACCCTGGGATCTTCACAATTTGATTATGAAATAAATTATGGATTAAGTCCAGCCTTCACTGACCTTCATGGATACTAGTAACCTTATTGGTACTCTCAACAAGAAGGGTAGGGTCTATCACCGACATAGGGGAGACTTAAAAAATTCTCATAATCTTTTGAGGAGACATCCACAGGACGCTAGATTCTCCTCCCAGCCTTACAAAGCTCTGTTTAGAGGGTGAAATCATGGTGGCCACCCGTGCGAGGAACAGAATTCATGGGTGAGATTGACAAACTCAGCTTCAGTGATTGCCAGTCTTGGTCCTTCAACTGACACACAATTGCTCAGCAATTTGCAACTATGGGGCATTCATTCAAATTGTTCTTCATTTTAAAGAATGAGATGTTCTCAGAGCCTGTGAGTCCCAGCCTTGGCAAAATGTAAATTGTGCTTTCAAGGGAGAACAGCAAGCTGTCAGATTTTCTTTCTTGCTGCCCAGATGTGCAAAATTGCAGACGTTTTCAGTTAAGTATGTGGTGGATCAGTTTAAAAGTTCTTCTGAGAAAAGCTGGGGAAGTGTTGATCCAAGAGAATTTTTTTAAAAAAACAGAAAACCCACCTGCTGACAGAGAGGTGATGGACTTGGGATGCTGACTGAGTCACATTTTTTGGACATGGCCAACATGAAAATCTGTTTTGCTTGCCTATACATATTTGTAACAGGGGTTTTGACTTCCTTGCTTTCTCAATGGGGCTGAAGGGGAAATGGGTAGGAGAGAAGGCAGATCTGAAAATAAAATTGAATGTAAAATTCAATTAAAAAATAAAAAAGAGAAAATAGAAGGAATAAGATTAAAAGACAAATGTTTGCAAAGGAGCTGCTATATACTTGTGCATCTCTGAAGTTATTCTTTACTATATTTTGTTTTGGTTTTTAGCCAGGTTACAGCAAGGTTTCCCATTGCCTAACCCACATCAGATCTCTCTTGTCAAGTCTGACATTGAAGTTCACAAGGTGAGAAGATGACTCTCCTCTTATGCTGTCTTTTATGGCAGAATCACAGAATTATCCTCAACTCTCAAAGTTCAAAGCCCCAGAGGTCATCTTGTCCAAGTGATACATGAAGACTAAAGCCCTTTTTCAACATTCTGAATTCCAGTGCTACTCTTTACTATCCTTGTGACCTTTGGCAAGTCTCTTGACTTCTCTGGCCCTCAGTTTCCTCATTTGTAAAATGGGCAAGATGGATTAGATGACTTCCAAGGTCCCTGCCACAGCTCAGTCTTTGATCCGGTGATCCCAGACAATGGGTTGTCCAATCTCCATTTCAACATCAGGACATAGTGGAAAGAGGGCTTGATTTCAAGTCAGAGGAAATGGGTTCAAATCACAGCTCCTTCTTTGTGATCTTGGTCAAATTAACCTGCCTGGGCCTCAGTTTCCTCATCTGTAAAATGAAGAAGTTAGCCTGGAGGATCTCTGAGGTCCCTTCAGACTCAAGATCTACAATCCTACCTGCACAAGTCACCTAACCTTCATGGGCCTTGGTTTCCTCATCTGCAAAATTAGTGGGTTAGTACTCCCTGTTATCTTGAAATCTATGCCCATATGACTTCCATTAACAGAAACTACTTCCTTCCTGGGGTAGCCCATTCCGTTTTTGGACAACTTTAATTTTTAGGAAGTTTTTTCCTTATGTTGAACCATACTCTGTCCCCCTGTAACCTCTATTCACTGGTCAGTCCTAGATCCAGTAAAGAAATATAAGGCTAATACATTTCCTAAATAACAACTTTTCAAATATTTGAAGACAATTGATACTAGCTATTCAACCCTGGGCAGCTCATTCGCCCTCTCTGAAGTGTAGCTTCCTCCTCTACAAAGGAAGTTATTGAACTAGTCCCAAGATTCTTACCTTTTCTGTGTGTCCTGAACGCCTTGGTAGTCTGTTGAAGCCTATGGACCTCTCCTCAGAATAATGTTTCTAAATTCATAAAATAAAATAGAATTACAAAGAAAATCAATTCAATTGAAATCATTGCCAAAAAAAAACCTTTTTTTAAGTTTGCAGACCCGTTATGAAGAAGTCCTGGATCATCTCTAAGGTCCCTGCCAGCTCTGACATTCTATGGTTCATGGGATCAGAGGTTTCGAGCTAGAAAGGCCTTCAGATGCCCCCTCTTCCAACCCCCCACCTTCATCATTTTACAGGAAAGGAAACTGAGCATGAAAGACATTAAACCATTCCCCCAGGATTCCACAAACAGCTAGTAATATCTCAGGTGGCATTTGAACCTAGGTCTTCCCAATTCTAAGCCGAGCACTTGTATCAGCTACCAATTTATTCTTTGAAATTTGCAGCTACACTATGAAGAGCATTTGGAGCTGAGGTGGGACTAGGCAGTCAATCTGGCGCCACCTAGTGGCTGAATCCCTTCACTGCGTAGCACCAGAATGAAAATGATCCCTCACTAGACTCTGCAAGTACCATTGTATCCCAGCTAGCAATCTAGCAGGGACCTCAGAGGTCATCTGGCTGAACTCTCTATTTTGCGGGTGAGGAAACTGAGATCCAGAGAGTTACATTACTTGTCCAAGGTGGTAGTACGGGACAGCATCAAGACCTAAACAAAGGTCCAATGGCTTTAAATCCATTATTCTTTCCACTAATACTACTAGTTCTCCAAAGCCTGGGGACATGAAAACACTTCCAATGACCTGTAATTTGCTAGCCAACAACAGAAAGCAAAATCTTTTGTCTAATTTAATGGGAGGCAGCTAGTGGATAGAGCACGGACCTGGAACCAGAAACATTTGAGTTCTAATTCTGCCTCAGACACTTACTAGTTGTGTGACCCTGGGCAAATCACTTAACCTCGCCTGGCTAAGGTTGAGAGTCTGAAACTAAGTACTCGGTGTAGGTAGTGAGACTTTCTTCTACTCAGAGTTCCCTCCATCAATCAAATCACAGGTCCAGTCCTGATCTTACATTTTGTTTTTATTTTGATATGTACACATTGTATTCTCTGATAGAATAGAAGCTCATTGAGGTAGAGCCTGTAACTCTTTTGTCCTTGAATCTCTAGCACTTAGCATAATGAAATTACAAGGTATTATTATCTAGCAGATTAGATTATCATACCAACATTATATGTTATAATAAGTGTTCATGATTAATACCAACAATTATAGCTAACATTTATATAGTGCTTTAAGGTTTACAAAGCACTTTACAGTTCTTATCTCATTTGATCCTTACAACAATCCTAGGAAGTAGGGGCTATTATTACCATCCCCATTTTACAGATGAGGAAACTGAGGCAGAGGTTAACTGACTTGCCCAGGGTCACACAGCTAGTAAATGCCTGAGGCAAGATGCGAACTCAGGTCTCCCTGACTCCACAGTGCAGTGCAATAGGAACTTACTAAGTCCTTGACTGATTGATTGATTGAAAGAATGATCTATAAATGTCTTTTCCCCTTCAGGGTTTCCTTCTGGTTTCTACTGACCTCAGGTATGACCCTTTGTGGAAGAAGCAGCATTTTGGAGGCTAGAAAGGTGAAAACACCTTTGAGGACGCTGACAGCATGACCTGACTGGCGCTCTTAATATGAACAGGAGACAAATGATCCCTAACCCCTCCCCCCTGCCAAAACCACTGTACCCCCAAGGCTGGAAGACAAGGAAAACGTGGCAACAAGAACTGAAATGGTTTCCTTCCTAGCTTTAAGGGCACTAAAGAAAAAGGGCCGGGGGGCTTACAATGGTGCCTGTATATATGTCTGACTGTGTGTACTGAGTGTGAGTAGATGTCGGTTGCTGGGGCCACAAGGCAGGTTTATATGATGGGCACAGAAAGTCTTGGGAATCCAAGCAAGGCTTCCTTTACTTTGTCCCCACTGCATTTAGCATTTTATGTTTTGTACTTCATATTTTATGCTCCCTTTATTTAAATAAAATCTCTCCTCCCCTTGCATGCAGTCCCACCTACTTGGCTTTGAGAAAAGAGGGCCATCGGCATGGGGCTGAATCCCCAGTTTCAGATGAACAAGTTTCCAGGCTGGCCTGAACTCGCTATTTAAAATGTTTAAGTGAAAAATACCAGGTTTAGAACCAAACATAGAAGCTGTGATCTTCTAAAAGATTTAGCCCTGGTGACTTTTATCAAGTCACATGGTATAGTGGAAAGAGTGCTAGGCCTGGAGTCAGGAAGACCTGAATTCAAATCCTGCCTCAGACATTAAATGGCTGTATGACCATGGGCAAGTCACATAACTTCTGTGCCTCAGGTTTCTTCATCTGTAAAAGGAAAAGGTCAGACAAGATGGCCTCTGAGGTCCCTTTCAACCCTAAATCGATGATCCTAAGTCAAAAAGACTTGGGTTTATCCAGTGAGCAAATTGAATGTCGGACCCAAGGAACAAACCTTAAACACGATTCCTGTTTGTGCTGACCAAGGTTTCAGTCCATCAGTCACCTGGTTCACCTTGCAGTGGAACACTGCAGTGTTATAAGAACAATGAATATGTAGTTATGTAACCTGTAGAGTTTACACAGAAGAGAAAAGAACAACTCAAACACAAATGAGTAAAAATAAAATATATAAAAAAGAAATATGTAGTAATTTGGGGGGTGGGGGGTGACACACTGACAGCTAGGAGAAACTCTGGGATTTTGCTTAGCAAGGCTCTTGACCTGGGCCTTGAAGTGCATTAGGGGTTCCAAGAAGCAGAGGAGAGAAGGTTTAATATTCCAAGCAGACAAGTCAGGGCTCAGATGAAGGAAGCAGAGCCTCCACTAACAATTTTTTGTACCTGGGCCAAGCTAGGAGGGGGATGGATGAGCCCTTATGTATATGTAGGAAGCAGAAAAACTGAGGGGCAAAATGAGAACCAGACCTGGTCCACTTCCCTGCCTGTCTAGGATTCAAAGCTCTTCACAAGGCTACATTCTTGCTAGGCTAGAAGAACAAACCTCCTTGGTCTCCTCATCAAAAGTTTGAGGAGAAAAAAATGTTCTAGCCATCACAGGTAATGTAAAAGTTTGGGTAATGGACGACAACTCTCACTCAGATTCTGTAATTCTGTTACTCGGTAGCTAAAATCAAACAAATAACTAAAGTAGCATTAAGCCCCTGCTATGTGTAGAGTATTTAACTACTGTGGTATGGGAAACATACAGAACACCCTGTTTCTTCCCTCAAGGAATTTGTCACAACTTGTTTGTCTCCATTTCCTTACCTGTAAAATGGGGATAATAAAAGTACCCCTTCCCAGAGTAGTTTTGAGAGCAAAATGAGATGATATTGATTCGCAAACCTTAAAATGCTATTGTCATTATCATCATCATCCTCATCCTCAAATGAAAGTTACAGGAATTCCGAGGTGGGGCTGAGGTTCAAGGAGGGGTCAAGTCAAGGGTAAAATCAAATCAAGTCAAGAAATATATCCTAAGTACATACAATCAGGAGGGAACTGGGAGAGAAAACACTTTTCCTTCATCTGAGTATTCTTCCCCCCACCTCAGTGGTTGGGAACTCTGTCCAGACCAGCTCTATTAACTCATTTAAAAAAATTCATTCTTCACATTTGTCTGGTAAGTAATGTGGAAACCAAGTTTGCTCTTTTATCATTGCCACACAGATCAGTTTCATTCCACAGCAGGGAAGAAATCTCTCTTGGAATCAAAGAACCTGGCTTCACATTCTGATTCTGTTACTTACTAGCTATGTGACCTTGGACGAGTTCCTTCCCCCTTTAAGGAATTCGTTTCTTTTTTACCCTAAAATAAGGAACTGCTCTTTTTAATCAATTAATCAATCAAAAATTATTTACTAAGTTCCTGTTATAGGCCAGATCCTGTGCTAGCTGCTAGGAGTGCAAATGTAAAGAATGAAACCGCTGCTTAGAAATAGCTACTATCTTTAATCTAATAGGAGAAAACAAGGAGCAATTTAAAATGATACAGCACATGTATACATATATGTAGATACATGTATGTATTGTGTGTACATGTATATATATGTAGAGAATAAATAGAAATAAATGCAACATAGTTACAAGGAACTTAGGGAGGGAGGGGGGAGGGAGTTCAGGAGCATCTTTGTGGAGAAGACGCTCTGTGACTAATAGGAAAGGAGGAACTCCATGACTCAGAGGCAAGGAGGCTGTGCCTGTCACGAACAAGTCGTTAAGTTCTTTTCAGGGAACATACTTCCTAAGGCGGTTTGTTGGGGGAATATCTGTTGTGTCAAAAAATATGCCAAGAAATTTTAAAAACTTAAAAGTGTTAAAAAATTCTCTATTTCTTTTTTAAGAATGAAAAATTAAATTATTTTTACAGTACAATTTAAAAATAAAAACTCTCCCCAAACTATAAAAAGATGGATAGATGATAGAGAAAGAGGTATAGACAGATGATAGATGTATAGATAGACATGATAGACATATGGATGGATGGATGTATAGATAGAGGTATAGAGAGATGGTAAAGGTATACAGAGATAGGTGATAGAAAGATGTATAGACAGACAGACAGATAGATAAATAGATAGAGGTATACATAGATGATAAAGGTATAGAGAGATAGAGATAGATGATAGATAGAAGAACGGACAGAGACAGACAGATAGATAAATGTATAGACAGAGACCATTCTACTACAAAGGTAATAAATGATAGCATAATAGGTAAGATTCAAATTCCAGTCTTGTAACTCCAAATCCAGAGCTCTTTCCACTCAATCAACAAACATTTATAAAGTGCTTGTTGTATGCTAGGTATTGTGGATACAAATACAAAAGCAAGACAATTCCTGTCCTCAGAGAACTTACATTCTACTGGGAAGCTTACATTCTACTGAATCAGTCAGCCACCAGTCAATAAACATGTAAATACCTACTACGTGCCAGGCACTATGCTAAGCACTAAGGCACAAGACAATCCCTGCCCTCAGGAAGCTTACAATCTAATGGGGGTAGGGAGATGGATAACATACAAATAAATACGTACAAACAAGCTATAGACAGAATAAACGGGAAATAATTAACAAAGGGAAGGGACAGGAATTAAGAGGGCCTGGGGAAGGCTTCCTATAGAAGACAGGATTTTAGTTGGGCTTGAAGGAAGCTAGGGAGGTCAGGAAGTGGAGAGGAGGGTTAGGCATGGGGGAGCAGGCAGAGAAAATGCCTGGAGCCAAGAGATGGAATAATTGTTTTGTAGACCAGCCAGGAGAATCACAGAGCCACCGGATAGAAAAAGTATGCATCAGGGAGTAAGGTGTAGGAAGATTGGAAGGGTAGGAGGGGCCAAGTGATGAAGGGCTTTGAACGTCAAGCAGAGTGTTTTCTATTTGATGCTGGAGATGATAGGGAGCAACTGGAGTTTATTGAATTGGTGGAAAGGAGTGACGTAATTGGACTTGTGCTTTAAGAAAATCACTTTGATGGGTAGGCCAAGCTAATATAGTAAAAATGATAATTCTACCTAAGTTAATTTACTTATTCAGTGCCATAGCAATCAAACTGCCAAAAAATTATTTTATAGAGCTAGAAAAAATAATAACAAGATTCATTTGGAAAAACAAAAGGTCCAGAATATCAAGGGAACTGATGAAAAAAGATGCAGGGGAAGGTGGCCTAGCTGTCCCAGATCTTAAATTGTATTATAAAGCAGTAATCATCAAAGCTACTTGGTACTGGCAAAGAAATAGAGTGGTGGATCGGTGGAATAGGTTAGGTATGCAAGACACAGTAGTCAATGACTATAGTAATCTATTATTTGATAAACCCAAAGACCCCAGCTTCTGGGATAAGAACCCACTACTTAACAAAAACTGCTGGGAAAACTAGAAAAGAGTATGGCAGAAAGTAGCCATAGACCAAAATCTCACACCATATACCAAGATAAAGTCAAAATGGGTTCATGATTTAAATATAAAGGCTGATGATATAAGCAAACTGGGAGAGCAAGGAATGGTTTACCTGTCAGATTTATGGAGAACAGAAGAATTCATAACCAAACAGGAGCTAGACAACATTACAAAATGCAAAACAGATAATTTTAATTACATTAAGTTGAAAAGTTTTTGCACAAACAAAGCCAATGCAACCAAGATTAGGAGGGAGGCAAAAAAACTGGCAAAGAAATTTTATAACCAGCGTCTCTGATAAAGGCTTCATTTCCAAAATATAGAGAACTGAGTCAAATTTACAACAATACAAGTCATTCCCCAATTGATAAATGGTCAAAGGAGATGAACAGGCAGTTTTCAGAGGAAGACATTAAAGCTATCTAGAGCCATATGAAAAAATGCTCTAAATCACCATTGATTAGAGAAATGCAAATTAAAACAACTCTGAGGTACCACATCACACCTGTCAGACTGGCCAACATGACAAAACAGAAAAATGATAAATGCTGGAGAAGACGTGGGAAAATTGGAACACTAATGCATTGTTGGTGGAGCTGTGAACTGATCCAACCATTCTGGAGAGCAATTTGGAACTATGCCCAAAGGGCTATAAAATTGTGCCTACCCTTTGACCCAGCGATACCACTTCTAGGGCTGTATCCGAAAGAGATCACAAAAATGGGAAAAGGAGCCACATATACAAAAATATTTATAGCGGCTCTTTCTGTGGTGGTCAAGAATCGGAAATTGAGAGGATGCCCATCCATTGGGGAATGGCTGAACAAATCATGGTATATGAATGGAATGGAATACTATTGTGCTATAAGAAATGATGAGCAGGCAGATTTCAGAAAAACCTGGAAAGACGTGTATGGTCTGATGCTGAGTGAAGCAAGCAGAACCAGGAGAACATTGTACACAATGACAGCCACATTGTGCGTTGACTCACTTTGATAGACTTGGCCCTTCTCAGCAATACAAGGATCTAAGACATCTCCAAAGGCCTCATGATGGAAAATGCTATCCACATCCAAAGAAAGAACTATGGAGTTTGAATGCAGATTGAAGCATACTATTTACCATTTTTTTTCTTCTGTTTTGTCTTGTTTCCTCTTTCTGGTGGTTCCTCTTATTGTTTCTAATTCTTCCTTACAACATGACTAATGTGAAAATATGTTTAGTAGGAATGTATATGTATAGCCTATGTCAGATTGCGCATCGTCTTGGGAAGGAAGATGAGGAGGGAGGGGGAGAAGAATCTAAAACTCAAAAGCATATGGAAGTGATTGTTGATAGATCAAAATAAATTAATAAAAATTTTTAAAAAAGAAAAAGAAAATCACTTTAGAGGATGAAGAGAGGATGGATGGAAGTGGGAAGAGACTTGGCAGGCAGACCCATCAGCAGACTATAGAAATAAGACCTAGATTTCCTGGTTGCTGCTAAGGTTTCTATCTGTCTTCACAAACCCAGTTACAGCGCAGCATTTAAGGTGCACTTTCTGAACAAGCCACTTGGCCTGTTTGTCTCCATATTCTCACAGGTAAATAAGGATAATAAGAGCACCTACCTCCCAGGATTGTTGTATCATCAAATGAGATTACATATTTTAGCTCTTAGCGAACCTTAATGTGCTAGATAAATGTTAGCAATTGTTATTATTACTAATATCATTGATATTACTATCAGTTTAGGTATATAAACACTGTCACTATTAATAGTGTTGCTATAATTATTAATATTGTCATGTCCTTGTTCAGTTGCCAACTCTTTCCGACTCCATTTGTGGTTTTCTTGGCCAAAGATACTGGAGTCGTTGGCCATTTCCTTCTCCAGCTCATTTTACAGGTGAGGAAACTGATGCAAACAAAGTTAAGTGACTTGCCCAGAGTCACACAGCTAGTAAGCTAGTAAGGAGAATGAGTCTTTTTGACTCCACACCTAGCACTCTATCCTCTGTGCTACCTAGCTGCCCGGGGAATATATAGTTATAGTTACTACATTATTGTCGTTATGATAGTGATGTTACTAATATCATTGTTATTAATATTATTGTTATGAGAGTTTGGTTTCAATTTTGTTCAGTTGTGGGGTGGAAGTGAGAGAGATAAAAAGGCTTGTTAATTTAAAAAAAATTATTTTTGAAGAGAAGGATGTTTAGGTATGGCCAATAAATAACATCACAAAAAAACCGAAATTTGCTATAGTTTAGCAGATACAAAGTATTTAACAATGTAATTTCTTATGTGGCTGTTCATTTGCAAGAATAAAGATCAAAATCAATATCAAATAGGAGAAGAAGGAAAGAAAAGAGAAGAAAGGAGAGAGGAAAAGAAAGAAAAAAGAAAACAAGAAGGAAAGAGAATAAGAGAAACAGAAAAAGAAAGGAAAAGAAGAAAGAGAAAAGGAAAAGAAGAGAAAGAAAGAAGAAAAGAAAGAGGAAGAGAAAGTACAAGAGGAAAGGAAGAAAAGGGAAGAGAGAAAGAGAAAAAGAAAGGAAGAAAAAGAATGAGAAAGGGAAAACAGAAAAAGGAACAGAGAGAATGAGAAAGAAAAGAGAGAAAAAGAAAAAGGAAGAGAAAGAAAGAATAATGAAACAAAGAGAAATAAAAAGGGAGGAAGAGAAAGGAAGGGAGAAAGAGAAAAAGAAAGGATGGGGAGTTAAACAAGAAAGGAAAAATAAAGAGAAAGGAAAGAATGGAAACAAAAGAGAAAGAGAAAAAGAAAAGGAGAAGAGTCAGCACTAGGGGGCAGTCAAGGGTCATTGGTGCGGAAGGCTTTCTCTGCGAAGCCTTTTGAGCCTCGCCGCGCCCCGTCGCCGTCGCTTCCGCTTCCGTTTCTCCCGTGCCACGGTCGCCTGCGCCTGCGCCTGCGCCTGCGCCTGCGCAGTCAGAGTAGGCGGCATAGCGCCCGGTACCTGAGGCCGCTTCTTCCGGGGCTGAGGAGGCCGAGGCGAGCCGGGCCCGGGAGCCACCATGAGCCGCAGCTACAATGACGAGCTGCAGTATCTGGACAAGATCCACAAGAACTGCTGGAGGATCAAGAAGGGCTTCGTGCCCAACATGCAGGTGAGCGGGGCCCGCCCGGCCCGCCCCGGGGCATCCCCGGGAGGCAGGAGTGGGGTGTGCGTGTGAACAAAGCCCTGCTGTGCCTCAGTTTCTCCAGCGATTGCGCCGGACGCCGTGAGGGGCCGGACCACGCGGGGCCTCCCGTCGCTAACGCTCTGAGACCCCGCGATTCACCGTTGGTGGCCGGGACGCCTCCTCCCCTCCCCCCGCAGGCCGTGACCCCCGGACGTTCGGCCCTCAGAGCGCTCGCTCAGCCTGTGGTTAGTAAGCACGGCACGCAGTAGGCACCTAATAAGTGTTGTGAAATTACGTGGTTGGACTCGGTGGTCTCTCCTGAGGCCCCTTCCAGCAGCAGCTCTGATCCGAGGAGGTGCGGAGTAACTCGGGGAAGCCAGTGACGACGCCATCGACTAATAAACGTTCGCTAAGGCGCTGCCATGTGCCAGGCACTGTGCCAAGCTGGGGGGAGGGGAGTGCGAGAAGAGAGAGAAGGCATCCTGCTGTCGGGGAGTTCACAGGGAAACAGCAGTCAAGCAATAAGCTTATATTAAGCACCTACTGTATGCCAGGCACTGAGCTAAGCTGTAGGATACAAAAGAGACCAAAGGTGGTCCCGGCCCTCTAGGAGCAATCAGTCCAGCAGGGAGCCGGCACTCAGAGGAGACAGACAAAGCAATATACAGGATAAATAGGAAATGATTAAGGGAGGGAAGGCAGGACCAAAGAGGTGTGTCTGCCTTGTAGTTTCAGGATTTGAGGTGGGACCAAAAAAAGAAAAACAGTCACCTTAAGGATGACGGCAATAAACATTTTAACTTGAGGCCTGGTCTGGGGTCATTGCTGGAGGCATTTGCAGAACCTACAATAAGTAGCTGCCTTAATTCCGTGGCCCCCTGGGTAGTCTCCTGGAGACCCTTTCTCTGGCCCTTGTCGTTACTGTTTGCCCAGCGATGATTTTCCTTTCTGATAAACATGCTGGAAAAGAACAAAACGTTCCTCAGATGATAAAACGTCTGGTTTTGTTGCCTTTCAGTTAGCCAGGACTGTCTCTGATAGCATTTTATCTCCGCTAAAGAAAAATGTGCTGGACGTTTCTTGTCATAATTATATAATTTGTTTTATTATTTTGTCTAATTAACTGAACGCGTTTGGACCAGTCTTGATAATTGTGAAACATTGACCACTATTAGCACAGTTCCTTCTTTCTCTCCCCTACCCAGGCCCCCCCAAAAAAACTTTTAAGGCTTTTCACAAGCTATACCAACCAGTTTTATTACACAGTTTCCATTCACATCCCCTCCATTCCAAACAGATTAGATTCCTCACCATTCTTGGGCCCCACCTCCTGCCTCACTAACCCTCTTCTGCCCTCCCCCAGGCCACCCAGTAAGACATCCTCCCCATCTGTCAAGACTAGTTATCACCTCTTCCACAAAGTCCTCCCTCATGCTCCCCAAGAGAAATGATCTTTCCTTTGGTGATGATAATAAGCAGGACCCTGAAAGGGCTAGTGTGGTGGACTTGGGAGTTGGGAAGACCTGGGTTCGAATCTTACCTTAGACACTAGCTATGTGGCCAGGGATTAGTAAGTAAACCTCTCTAAGCTTTAGGGAGCTCCCTATGTTTATACAGAGCGTTAAGGTCTTCAAAACACCTGGTAGTTCAGTGGATAGAGAGATGAACACAGAGTGAGGAAAAAGTACAAATCTGGCCTCAGGCACTAGCTTCGTTACCCTGTGCCAGTCAGTTAATTTCTGTTTGCCTTGGTTTCCTCAACTATAAAATGGGGATAATAACAACATCTACCCTGCAGGGTTGTTGTAAAGATCAAATGAGATAACATTTATTTTTTAAAAAAAAGCTGTTAACAGAGTAGGTACTATATAAATGCTTTTTCTCTTCCCATTCCTGTTTTCCCCTTTCCAAACTCCTGTGTTCTTGAAGTCAAGGCATATTTCTTATTTATGTTTGTGCTTCTTATCTGAATATTCCTCAGCATCTACTCTATTGCTTTGCCCCTGTTAGGCATTTAGTAAACTTATATTTGTTGGACAAATCCATTTTCCTTTTTTAAAGACAGAAATGATGGCATGTGTAGTAAGGTCTCAAAACTGGCTTTATTTAAAAAATTTATTGGGTTGTTAGGGTCAGTTTCTTCAGTACTGATGACTGCTTTGGAAACACAAGATCTCTTAGAACTTTGTCTTTTTCTGTAAGACTGTAGTGCTATTCAATTTATAAAGTCATAAATTCCATGTTTTATTACTGTAGTTCAATAAAAGGTTTTTCAAAATGAAAACAATAATGTGTGACTCAATTCAACATATACTTAGTAAAGCTTGGATACTATGTCTAGTGTCAGACTCTGGGGAGACAAACGCAAATACAAAACAGCCCCTGCCCTCAAGGCGCTTACGCTCCCCATACTGTTAGCAATTCTCCATTTGAAAAAATATTGGTGACCCTTTTCCCAGGCCCCATCTTCGATCGTTATTGTGGAGGACAGTATTATAAGTTTACACACCAAGTAATGAAGATCTGGAGCAGGGAGAGATGACAGAAGAAAGTGTGGCCAGCCTTCTCTTTTGGAGCTCTCGTGCCCTTTATGATATGGTTTCTTTCTCATTTGTGTCTGGCCCAGGTGGAAGGAGTGTTCTACGTGAATGATCCCCTTGAGAAGCTAATGTTTGAGGAGCTAAGGAATGCCTGCCGAGGTGGAGGTAAGTACACCAAGCATTGGGTGGAAGCGATTGGTTTTTCTGCCAGCCGGCTGTCCTGTCTTCCCTCCTTCCTTGAGAAAATCAGAATAGGGTTTAATTGTATAAAAACTCAGCCAAAATAATAACAAGTATCCACGTGTTGATATGATACCAAAGAAGTATTTACTCCTGATGAAATGAACTCAAAGTAGTATCACATAACAACAAACAAAAACCTCAGCTGCTTTTGTAAAAATTGACGGGTGTTTTATATGAAAAACATGAATCAGTTGAGCTGAACCTCCCGAAATACATAATGATATTACACACACTTTATCTGATTTGCTCTTTCTCTGAAGAAAGAGGCACTGTGGAATAGTAGAAAGAACACTGTATTTAGAGTCAGAGGTTCTGAGTTCAAATGCTGACTCCACCACATCAGACCTTTGTGATCTTAGGCAAGTAAAAACCTAGCAGAGAAGGATGGCTTGAGATGGGAAAGTCATTCCTTAAGTATTCAGCTTGCTTCCAGGGAAGGAAATGAGGATAGCTGGGCACCACCAGACATGTGCCTGTGGCTACTATTTTATATAACCTTAGGGAGGCCATTTGTAAATACACTGATGGGCAGCATGGTGTGTAGAGATAAGAAGTGGGAGAAGGAAATAAACATTTATTAGGTGTCTATTATATGCCAGGCAGTGTGCTAAACATATTTTTTTTATTAATTTATTTTGATTTATCAACAATCACTTCCATAAGCTTTTGAGTTTTAAATTTTTCTCCTCCTCCCTTCCCAAGACAGCACACAATCTGATATAGGCTATACATATGCATTGCTATTAAACATTTTCACATGAATGATGTTGTAAAGAAGAGTTAGAACCCATAGGAGGAACCACGAGAAAGAGAAAATAAAACAAAACAGAAGAAAAACATATCAAATAGTCTGCTTCGACCTGCACTCAGACTCCATAGTTCTTTCTGTGGCTGGGGATGGCATTTTCCATCATGAAACCTTTGGAGAGGGCTTAGGTCTTTGCATTGCTGAGAAAGGCTAAGTCTGTCAACATTGTTAGTCGTTGCACAGTGTGGCTGTTACTGTGTACAGCGTTCTCCTGGTTCTGCTCAATTCACTCAGTGTCAGACCATGCAAGTCTTTCTGGGTTTTTCTGAAGTCTGCCTGCTTATCATTTCTTACAGCACAGTAGTATTCCATTATATTCATATACCACAGCTTTTCAGCCATTCCTCAATTGATGGGCATCCTCTTAATTTCCAATTTTTTGTCACCACAAAAAGAGCTGCCATAAATATTTTTGTATATGTGGGTCCTTTTACAGCCCTAGAAGCACTATTGCTGGGTCAAAGGGTATGCACATTCAATTGCTCTCCAGAGTGGTTGGATCAGTTCACATCTCCACCAACAATGCATTAGCGTTCCAGTTTTCCCACATCTTCTCCAACATTTATCATTTTCCTCTTTTGTCGTGTTGGCCAATCTGATGGGTGTGATGTGGTACCTCAGAGTTGTTTTGATTTGCATTTCTCTAATCGATAGTGATTTGGAGCATTTTTTCATATGACTATAGATGGCTTTAATTTCTTCCTCTGAAAACTGCCCGTTCATATCCTTTGACATTTATCAATTGGGGAATGACTTGGATTCACTAAGCATATTTTTTAAACGATTATCTCATTGTTCATGACAACTCTAGGAGGCAGGTGCTATTATTATCCCCATTTTACAATTGAGGAAACTGAGCTGAATAATGGTTAAGTGACTTGTCCAGAGTCACACAGCTAGTAAGTGTCTGTGGCTGGATTTTAATTCAAAGTCTTCCTGACTTCAGACCCAGTGCTGTGTCCACTGGGCCACCTAGCTGGACTTGGAGTTAGGAGAGAGCTGGGTTTGACTATCCCCTGTGGCACTTTCTTGCTTACAGGCCTCTTGCTTGCTGATATCACCTCTTTAAGTCTCAGTTTCCTCATCTGCCAGTGGGGTGACAACACCTATGGTACATACCTGAGGATCATAGAATTGTCCCCATTTGATAGCTGAGGAAACTGAAACCCAAAGAGGAATTAAACAGTTTGGCCCTCAGCCCGTCGGTGTTGTGGGGAGTCTAGCCCGGCCCCCTGACTCCAGGTTGGCCCAGCACTCTGGACGCCATATACCAGGCTGCTTCTCTATCAGCATATTGGCAACTTCCTCCTGTGGATTTCTATGAAATGTCATGGTGACATGTAGGATTTGGTGCAGATACCCTCTTTTCCTTCCCTAGAAGTATATTTATTGCTTGAGGACTCCTCCCTCTCAATCCAGCCTTCTCCACCACGTGATGTGAGTAGTGTCAACCAGCTCCCCATGATTTAAGGCAACATTTTGCCTTTGGGACAAGAAAGGCTGTTTCTGCCCTCTTAGTAAATTATGAATATATTTACTCAAATGTTCTATGAAGGAAAATGCCCTTTCCTTGTCTTCTGTTTTCCTCTTCAGGTGTTGGTGGCTTCTTGCCAGCAATGAAACAGATCGGCAACGTGGCAGCCTTACCTGGGATTGTCCACGTGAGTCAGAGTCCAGAATCTTGCTGCTGCCATTTCCATTCTGTTTAATGGTCTGTCAAGTGGGTGGAGGCTGAAGCAGACTGGGGCCTCCTGGGAATCTTGGAATTTTCCAGCCGGTAATGCCGTGGACTTGGTAGCTTCGCTTGGCTGAAAGCCACCCAAGTTCAAAATGAATCCTGCTGACTTTTGTCTTTGATTGCTTCTGCTGCGTTTGATTGATCAGCTTGTCAGTATCATTGCCATGTGTTGCTGTGTTCAAAGAGAATAAAGGAACATGAGTGGAAATGGGGGTGGAGGAGACAGCTATCTCTGGACATATTTATTGGTAAAGGCAGATAGTGGCCCAGGAAGTAGGTGAGAGGGGCTCCTGCAGCTCCTCATCAAATGGGGTTGGAAATGGGAAACGAATACTCCTCCTCCCAGGCCCTGGCTCCCTCAGCATCTCCTGTAGCCTGGAGAAGAGCCTTGGTCATTTTTCTTTATGTTGCTCTGCACGGTTATGCGGAACGGCCGTCATTTGTTAGATCTTAGAAACAAACAAATCGCGTGAAGTAAACTAGCCCGTAACAGTTAAGCGTTTCTTTAGAGCTTTAAAGTTTACAAAGAAAGCAATTTCCTCACCCTGTGGGGTAGTTACTGCAAATAGCATTGTCCTCATTTGGGATTTAGTAAGCGTCAGAGCCAGGGTTTAATCTGAGCCCAGAGTTCTCCCATTAGAGCATATTTCCATCGATCGATTCGTTCTCTTGGTTCTGGGTTGTCGTGATTTGCACTGGCCATGGGTCGCTTTTTAGATGTTCTCAGAGTAGATGAAAACATCTGCCATGTTCAGCTGGGAAAGACAGTTCTCAGCAGCCTGTTAGCCCAGTGGCTTCTGACTGGGGCTTGTGTGTTTTCAGGAGCTCTACACAGGCGCCTTTCCCATTTTCAGCTTTGTATGTGGAGGATTTTACCCTTAAAGAAGGCCTGATGAGCTCCAAGTGGACAAGAAAACGTTCCGATTTCTGAGCTAGACTGTGTGAGCCCCATGTGGGTTAGGGTCAGAGTCTTATCACAGGATAGGCTGCCAGCTCTTGATTAGTGGTGGGTAAACTCAGGTCAGAAGGTTGGAGAGAGAAAGAGGTTTTGAGAGGCTCCAAGAAAAGATAGTCCCCATTTGTGGGTGTTCTAAAATCTTTTTCAGAGATCTATTGGACTTCCTGATGTCCATTCTGGTTATGGATTTGCTATTGGGAATATGGCTGCCTTTGACATGAGTGACCCAGAGGCCGTGGTGTCCCCAGGTAAGGTCGTGGACACACCCAACACCTCCCCCCCCAACTGATGACCTTCTCTCCGTGGACCAGGGGCCGTGATCAGTAGTTTGAAAAGTGCAGTAATTTCCCTCCAGTCTGCTGAGTAAGGAAATTGATCATAGGGGATCAGTGCACATTAAAGCATTGAACCAGATGGGCATTTGCTGAAACATGCTTCTTCCCCTTTCAGCTGCATCCTGCATCCCTGCTGTTACGCAATCACTAAAAGCAAGCTACTCCGAAACCTCGATTGTTGCTTTGAAAGAATTTTAACTAGGAATCAAAAACAAAGTCTGGGTCCGGTTCCCTGCTGTAGGACATGATTTGCTGATGTAGTGCGGCCTCTCCAGCCCCTGAATCCTCTGCATTGCTGTGCTATCTACCTTAGCACAACTGAGACCAATTCGTGGTGACAGAAACAGAAGTCTAAATAAACTAAAAGGTTCTGCCTTGTCATGAGCAGCAGAGCTACCAACATTTCATTGCCAAAGACTTACGTTTATAAAGTACTTTAAGAAGCAGCGCTGTGAGCTAGGGACATCACACGAGTCATATTTTCATTTTACAGATGAGGAAGCTCAGGCTGTGAGAGCTTAGGGGACTTGCCCCCTGGGATGTGAGCCCAGGTCTTCCATCCTGCCTTCCATGTTCTATTCCTTGTACCTGCCCCCTTCCTATGTCTGTTAAAAGTGAGGAATAGATTTGCCAGCTCACCAGGACTTACTGATCCGGCTCGGGTTGTCTTCATTCCATAGGTGGTGTCGGATTTGACATCAACTGTGGCGTCCGCTTGCTGAGAACCAACCTGGATGAAAGTGACGTCCAGCCTGTGAAGGAGCAGCTGGCCCAGGCCATGTTTGACCACATTCCCCGTCGGGGTGGGGTCCAAAGGCGTGATCCCGATGAATGCCAAGTGAGGCCAGAACCGATCAGTGCATATGTTTCTCTTTCGAAGGTTTGGGAGGGGGCGGGGTTTTTTTTTCTTCCAGAGAAGCGTCCTGAGTTTTTTAAGCTCCAAGCAGAAACCCACCTATTGATTCGTTTCAGTAACACAAAAGAATCCAGCCATGTGTCTTGGAGGCCAATGTAATGATCTTAGAACTTTAACAATACCTTTGTAATGGAATTTTGCCTCTAATGAAGCCAAGACCTCCACAGCTTGAATGAAGATGGTGGACATGATGTGTTGGGTGCTCGTTCTTTCCAGGTCAAGTTCCCAAGGCTGAGGATCAAAGAGTGTTTGTTAAACTCCAGGGACCTTGGCTCATAGGATGTTGTCCCTAGAGTAGGAAGGGACTTGCAAGGCATTCTAGGCCACCCCCCTTCATTTTAAAGATGAGGAAACTCAGCCCTGAAGAAGCTAAAGGAAAGGCCATGGTGGGAGGGTTACACTGATGTAGGAGAAGAGGTTTTACAAATCTGGATATAGATTGCATCACCCCTAGGACTTTATATGTGAACGGCTTAGCTTCAGAATGCAGAGCCAGAAGTAGAGGCAGCTTGGGGATGGCCGGTGTCAGTCTACACAAAGGCAGGGAAACAGGACTTCTGGGATGAAAATACTCATGGTTGGCATGACAACCCCTATTAGAAATACCGATTCCATGCAGACCAAGGCAACTCTTGACCTACTTACTATCTCTCCCTATGGGGTCTTGAGGTGTCTTCGTGCTGCATTTTCCCTACCTCATAGGGCTTGGGATCAGATGAGCTCATATAAGGGGGAAAGGCCAGACTGTGTCATTATAGCGTGGATCCAATATTCTGTCTGCCTTTGGAGACGTGGAGTTATTTTAAATGTTGGAGGAGGTACTTGTAACAGAGTTGTGTGGCCTGAGTTTTGACCCTTTAGTGACCACAGCTCTTTGATTTCAGGGATTTAGAGGAGGCTCTGGAGATGGGGGTGGACTGGTCTCTACGAGAAGGCTACGCTTGGGCAGAAGATAAGGAACACTGTGAGGAATATGGGCGCATGCTGCAGGCTGACCCCAACAAGGTCTCCGCCAGGGCTAAAAAGAGAGGCCTTCCTCAGGTAACGCTGCCCAGGCGGCCCTTCGGGTCAGCAGCCCTCTCTTTTACACATTGTTTTTATTTAAAATCTGTCTTACATTTCATGACCACATCCCCACGCCTCCAGCCTTGAGGAGAAGCAGCAGGAGGTGCTAGCCTGGGAGAGGAACCCAGGGCCTGGTTGGGGCCTCGGCTTCTTGGGACGTCTGTCACCCCTCTGTCATTCTAGAAACTTTCCAGGCCTCCAGTCTCTAACAGGAGTTCGTGGCCAGTGGATGGCCATCGCCAGGCCTGCCATTTTGGTGAATGACAGCCCAGTATTATGGATCACATGCCAAGGGAGCTTTGGATTCCAAAAATAAGAGTGTGCAGGACCATCCTCCTCCTCCAGAGATGCAGGCGTCAGAAAAAGCAGAAACACTGGAATGTACCGTGGCGTGTCTCTGTGACCCTAAGATCAAACTCATTCACTGGTTGTACAAAAAGTCTTGTATGATCCTGGACTTTTGCTTTAGAGGCCAACTGTGCCTCCGTGCTGAAATTATCCTGAACTTGGTTGCCCCCAAATTTGAAATATTTTCTCATACTGGAGTCAGTAAAATTCTTAGCGAAGGAGTCTGTGTACCTGTAAAAGGAAATCTGCCTTTTAGCTGATGGTGTTTAGGCCAGGGCACAAAACGTCTGAGAACCTATACTTTTAGCTAACTAATGAAGCATTTGCTGTTGGTATGCTGTTTATGATGTCTTCTTTAATAATCAGTAAACTAGAAGGCATTGTCCAATTATTTTTGTTACGGCGAATACTGCTAGAAGTAAGCCATCAGCTGGGGCTCAGAAGCTTTTCTGTAATGTTCTTTGTTGTGACAGGATTTGGCGTGTCATTCGATCTAGGTGGGAACCATCTTACCAGGGTGGATTTGGTTTGTTTTGTTTTATTTGCACTGACAGCTCGGGACCCTGGGAGCAGGAAATCATTATGCAGAGATCCAAGTTGTGGATGAAATTTTTAATGAGTACGCTGCTAAGAAGATGGGCATTGACCACAAGGGACAGGTGTGTGTGATGATCCACAGCGGCAGCAGAGGCCTGGGCCATCAGGTAGCTACAGGTATGGTCTGGGCTTCCCCTTTGGCCTGTGGAACTTTGCGATGTTGGCAGGTGCTGGAGGCAGGTTGGGGACCCACAGGTGTCAAGTGTGTGGTAGATGAGGAGTAACTGCTGGGTACTGGGGGAGATACAAAGATCTGGCTAAGAGGCCATCAAGTCCAGCCTTTGAGTAGCTCCCTGTGCTTGGAGGGGGGCGGGGGACACCAGGGGAAGGGATAAGAACACACATCAGATATAAAAAGATACATCATAAGCTCTTAAGGGGTGAGGCCTAAGGGATGAAGAAGGACTGTTCAGGAGAAATCTCACAGAGGAGGAAACATTAAAACTGGGCCTTGAAGGGCAGGTAGTGATGGGGCAAGTGGGGGAAATGGTGCTCCAGGTGTAAGGAATTGCATAGACAAAGGCGTGGAGGTGTGGCAGGAGGGCCTTGGACTCTGGGCTATGGACTGTTCAGGGCAGGAAGAAGCTGTTGAAGGGTTTTCTTACAGGAGAGATACGACCAGCTCTTTGCTTAAGTATTAGTGATCTGAGAGAAGCGTGATGGTAATGGGAGGGAGCAGAGAAGGGAAAAAGCGGGATCTCTTAGGATACCAGCTTAGAGGCAGTGGGAAAGCTTGAGTCACTGTGGTCCTGGCAGCCCTGTCCCTTTCCACCTCCTCCTGTATTGTCCACCCCATGACTGGCCCCAGCCTATCCCTCCATCTGCCTTCTCAGCAGGTTTTCCCTGGCCTTGCCCCGTGCCTGGAATGCTCGCTCGCTCTCTGTCTCTCAATCTCTCTGTCTCTCAGTCTCTCTCTCAATCTCTCTCTCTCCCTCTCTCTCTCCCCCTCTCTCTCCCTCTCTCTCCCTCTCTCTGTCCTGCCTGCAGGTCTCAGCTGAAATCCCAGCTTCTGGGAGAAGCCTTTCCAATGCCCTGAATGTTCATACCTTCCCTCTGTTCATTGTCTGCAGCGTATCTTGTATCTTCTTCATACGTGATTATTGGCTAGGCTGTCTCCCCCTGTTAGATTGTGAGCCTCTTCAGGGCAGGTCCCCAGTGCTCAGCACAGTGCCTGGCACACAGTAGGTGCTTAATATACACTCCTTGGTTTGACTTTCAGCTATGGGAATATTTCCATAAGTATTGGAAACCTTTAATAATGTATCTCCATATATTCTAACATTTCATAGGATTAACAGACTCATCACCTATCTGAAATCCATCCATCATAAACGTGCCTCACAGTAGGAATGATGTTGATAAACTGTGATTTGTCATTGTAAATTAATCCGTTGTGTTCATTCTCATCCAGTTTTGCTCCTGGAGAACAGCAATTTCTAGCCCGGTTATTATTCCTGCTTCTACACTAATGATGTTGCTAGCTGTGATGGGGATGGTAAGATCCCTATGGGCAGCGACCATGCCATAGATAACACTGTTGGATATCCCACAGTCCCCTGCATTGTCTGTGAGGCTTAATAAATTTGTTTGTAGAATGAACAAACTCTCTGTAGTACTGAAATGTTCTTAAGGATAAATTTGCAGGTTTACTTTTTTATAACCAATAATAACTTCATGGTTATGTTGCACATCAAGGCCTATGAAATTTATGTGATATGAACTATTTGTCTCTTCCAGATGCCCTGGTGGCCATGGAAAAAGCTATGAAGAGAGACAAGATTATTGTGAATGACCGCCAGTTGGCGTGCGCCCGGATCAGCTCCCCTGAGGGGCAGGACTACCTAAAGGGCATGGCGGCTGCCGGAAACTACGCCTGGGTCAACCGCTCCTCCATGACGTTCCTGACCCGACAGGTGGGACTCCAAGTGCTCTTTGGAGACGGTGTTTCTGGCGTGGTGTAGTGCCCTTGAAACCTAACGATGTGGGCAGAGGAGTTTTGTTTTGGTGATTCACATGATGAGTTTCGGGGCATGTGAAGGAGGGATCCACACTTCAGTGTTTTCTTCACTTAGTTAACAGTTGTCATGGGAATCAGTAGTTATCCCTTCATTCTAGGCTACTGAATAAGAGGACTGACACTTGGCAAAGCGGCCAGGCCAGAACCACACAAAAGGCACACTTTCCTGGAGTGTCTGCCTACTAGCAACTGAATTGCAGCATGTTTCCCACTCTTGGGATGTTGAAATTTTAAAGAATCTCAGCTCAGTTTTAAACTGTTATTTAGTCATTTCGGTCATGTCCAACTCTTCATGACCCCATTTGAGGTTTTCTTAGCAGAGATCCTGGAGTGGTTTGCCATTTCCTTCTGCAGCTCATTTGACAGATGAGGAAACTGAGGCAAATGGGGTTACAGGACTTGCCCAGCATCACACAGCTAGTAAGTGCCTAAAGCCAGATTGGAACTCATGAAGATGTTTTCCCGACTCCAGGCCGGGCGCTCTATCCACTGCACTACCCAGCTACCCTAAACTGTGTTTGAGGGTAGATGAGTGTTTGGTTTGAGGTTTTTGTTTGTTTTAAATTTTGAAGCCTTCGTTAATTAGCTATATTGCAGATCACCTTCTTCCATGGAATGCATCAGGCTTCCTCTTTGGTCTCTCTTCTTAGGTGACTAGCTTATAAAGCTTACTTGTCCTGGTCATAGCATTTCTAACACTATTGCTCCCCTTGTTAGCATCAGCCAGGCTGTTAGCAGATATTTTGACTTCACAATCTGTTGATTCTCAAGTTGCCAGGCTAAGATCTTCCTTTTAGTGATTTAATTATAAAACTGTTGTGACTGAAATGTGCTTACCCTTCGCACAAAATCATGGCTGTAGAGACCCAGCTTGGCATTTGTTGGTAAGAAATCTGGCCTCCTCGACAGCTTCAGCACCTGGGCAGCTGGTAGGTCCTTCTGAAGGTGGTATCGACACTTTGGGGAAGAATTGTTTGTCAGCCCCCAGCATTTCTGGGATTCCTTCCTAACTGATTGACTTATTCTTAGTTTTCAACATTCACTTCCATAAGATTATGAGTTTTAAATTTTCTCCCCCTCCTCAAGACGGTATGCAGTCTGATAAAGGCTCTACTTACACATTCATATTAAGCATATATTCCCAATAGTCATGATGTAAAGAACAGTTAGAACCAATGGGAGGAACCATGAGAATGAAGCAATAAAACAAAACAACAAAGGAAAAGGAGAGCAAATACTCTGCTTCCATCTGCATTCAGACTGCAGAGTTCTTTGGATGTGGATAGCATTTTCCATCATGAGACCTTTGGAGATGTCTTAGATCTTTGCATTGCTGAGAAGGGCTAAGTCTGTCAGAGTTAGTCATCGCACAACGTGGCTGTTATTGTGTACAAAGTCCTCTTGGTTCTGCTCACTTCACTCAGCATCAGTCCATACAAATCTTTCCAGGTTTTTCTGAAGTCTGCCTCCTCATCGCTTCTTATAGCACAGTAGTATTCCATTCCATTCATATACCACAACTTGTTCAGCCATTCCCCAGTTGATGGCCATCCCCTCAGTTTCCAGTTCTTGACCACCACAGAAAGAGCCGCTATAAATATTTTTGTACATGTGGCTCCTTTTCCCATTTTTGTGATCTCTTTCGGATATAGCCCTAGAAGTGGTATCGCTGGGTCAAAGGGTAGGCACAATTTTATAGCCCTTTGGGCATAGTTCCAAATTGCTCTCCAGAATGGTTGGATCATTTCACAACTCCACTAACAATGCATTAGTGTTTCAATTTTCCCACATCTTCTCCAGCATTTATCATTTTCCTGTTTTGTCGTGGTGGCCAATCTGATAGGTGTGATGTGGTACCTCAGAGTTGTTTTGATTTGCATTTTTCTAATCAGTAGTGATTTAGAGCATTTTTTCATATGACTATAGATGGCTTTAATTTCTTCCTCTGAAAACTTCCTGTTCATATCCTTTGACCATTTATCAATTGAGGAATGACTTGTATTGTTGTAAATTTGACTCAGTTCTCTATATTTTGGAAATGAAGCCTTTATCAGAGACGCTGGTTATAAAATTTCTTTGCCAGTTTTTTGCCTCCCTCCTAATCTTGGTTGCATTGGCTTTGTGCAGAAACTTTTCAATTTAATGTGATCAGAATGATCCATTTTGCATTTTGTGATGTTCTCTGTATCTCCTGTTTGGTCATGAATTCTTCTGTTCTCCGTACATCTGAGAGGGAGACTATTCCTTCCAGTTTGCTTACAGTTATCAGCCTTGATGTCTAAATCCTGTACTCGTTTTGACTTTCTCTTGGTGTAGGGTCTAGGATGTTGGCCTGTGCCTACTTTCTGCCCTGCTCTTTTCCAGTTTCCCAGCAGTTTTTGTCAGATAGTGGGTTCTTATCCCAGAAGCTGGGGTCTTTGGGTTTATCACATAGTCAGTTGCTGTAGTCATTGACTGCTGTGTCTCACATACCTAACACTGATGGGATGCCTTCCTTTCTGAAGAAGCAATTGAATGCTGTGTTCTCTTTGGGAATAGATTTCTTTTTCTGTTTGATGGGTGTGTCAGCCTGCAATTCCTCGGTATTCCAGGGAACTCTGATTTTTAAGTGTGGAGCTATAACCTTCCCAAAAGATCAGCAGTGGGCCTTTAGGCTCAAGGGCCTTCCTCAGCCAAGAGATGGAAAAGCTCTTTGCTCTTTCCAGTGCTGCCCAGGCCAGAGGAAGTATCTGGTCGTCCTTGTTTGGGACACAGGACTTTCCCTCAGGGATGGCACTTCCTCCTTATGTAAAATAGCATGTTAACTTTTTAGGAAACCAAATCAATAATGTAGAAGATAAGAGGTGATTTTTTTTAAGACACAAAAATAAACCTTTTGAAAAGGTAGAAAGAGACAGAGCAGGCCCCATGTTAAAACAAAAAGCTCATAGGTAGCCTGAGATGACCAAGAAGACAAAGGGGGGTTTCTTTATGGCAGGGAACTTCCTACAGGCCTTGAGAGCCCTGAGACCACGGGGTTTTTGTCCCTGATTTAGCTCGGAGGGCAGAGACAGACTAGAAGCATGGTGAGACTCAGATGCTTAGCCAGTCATCCTCACGCAGACATGCCAAGTCAGTGGCCTCGGAGGTTCCATAAAACCTCACTCTTTTTCTCAGTAACCCAGTGTGGCATGCAAGATGGAGGGTGTGGGGGCGGCAAGAGGGAAGACTGTGTCCTGTGGACTCGGGGCGGGGGGGGTGCTGTGTGACAAGAGAGTGGAGGGCAGAGTCTTCAGTGGTCATTTCTGGTCACCATCTTGAGGGTGGATGCCATTGGTTGAGGGTCTGAGACTCCTTGGACTACTTGAAGAACAGTCGAGCCAGCATTGGGGGGGGGGGGTATGTGTGCACATGCACGTGCATGCGTGTGTGTGTGTGTGCGCACACACGTGTGTTCGTGCGTGCATGTGTGTGTGTGTGTATGAATTCGCTCAGTACTTAGGATAGTTAGTCCTGACTGCTTTAAACCAAAGCCAAACTTGGTGTTGCTCAGGCTTTTGCCAAGGTCTTCAACACGACACCTGATGACTTGGACCTCCACGTGATCTATGACGTCTCCCACAACATCGCCAAGGTGGAGCAGCACGTGGTGGATGGCAAAGAACGGACGCTGCTGGTGCACAGGAAGGGGTCCACCCGGGCCTTCCCTCCACACCACCCCCTCATTGCTGTGGATTACCAGGTCAGGGATGGGGCATCTTGGAGGCCTGGCAGGGGGAGGAGTCTTTGAGAATCAGTGTAGATCCGTGGGAAGGAGTCCGAGCTGAGCTGCTGTAAGCCTCTGCCCCTCTGGTCCCAGGAATGCTGCCCAGCGGGCAGAGAAGTCCCAGAGAACGTGGGTACCCAGCCTAGGGGATCTACGTGATTTCACCATAGATGGTTCTAGAAGGATCCTATGATTTTATGTATCCATGTGTATCAAATTATCTTTGTGCTAGTAGGAAGCACAATGAATTTGGTTTCTGAAACTGGAATTATCCCAGGGGACAACAAAACAAGGCTTGAGAATCTCAGCCTTTTCCTTTGTTCTTCTCGGCACTTTGGTGTCAGACCCTGTTCTATCCCTCCCAGGCGCTTGCCAGCCCAGGATGCTGACACTTTCTAGGGTCTTCGTAATTAATGTGAATAAATCGCGGTCCTTGGAAGCTGTTTCTCACTTCTCCTCTCTGTTCCCCCTGCCTCTGCCTGCACAGGCTGTTTCAGCAGCCCCCTGAGGAGCTTCCTATTTCCACCTCCCACCCCACCCCTCAAACTGCTTCTTCAAAGAGGAGTGACGTGGTCAGACCTAGACTGGCTGGTTGTATTGGACCTACCCTGTCCCGACATGGGGCAGAAGTATGCAAGGACCCAAGGCGATTCTTCTGACACCTGACAAAGCCTAGAGAGATTTAAAGTTGTGGGGTTTGAGGGCTGTGCTGTGCTGGTTTTCATGTGATGGGTCTGTTTGCATCCTCAGCTGACTGGACAGCCAGTGCTCATTGGGGGAACCATGGGAACCTGCAGCTATGTTCTCACTGGGACTGAGCAGGGCATGACGGAGACCTTTGGGACAACCTGTCACGGAGCTGTAAGTACAACAGTTTCTCCTTAGAAGTGACCTGCTTTCACTCCCTCCTGAAGCCTTCTCATTTTCATTCCCTCTGGAAGGGTTCAGATATATCACACTTCTTACTGAGCGTGCTTCACACAGTGCACACTGGGTGGTGGGCAGGGGTGACTTTGATGGCTTCCCTGTGGACATCACCTTGTCCCTGCAAGTGATCCCTGCTGTCACCACCCTCACTCCTAAGCCAGAGTCCTCTTTGAAGGGGAGCGTTGGAGATGCCCTCTCCCAAAGTGAGATACTTGAGTATGTGCTGAAACATGAGGACACAGGGTGGCCCACAGAAATAGTGTTCGCTGCAGCTCTCGCTGGGCTTCATTCTCACAGTCACGACTCTCCTTTCTGATCGTCAGAAGCGTCCGTTGCATGTGGAAGGCAGCACTTTGGGAAGCCAGAGGTGAGCGAGTCAGAGAGTTGTATGGGACGTCCCTTGGTGGCTTCTCCAGTTTTCTCCCTGGGGTGACGGTCACGCGATGCACGTGTACAAGCCAGATCGAGGAGGGCGAAAATGTTGGTCTGTATTCAGAGCCCTGCAGAAACTGATCAAGAAACATGGTGGCATGGGAACAGAGGGGACGGTGGCCTTGAAGTCAGGAAGACCTGGGGTCAGGGCTGACTGTAACCCCATGCCACCACATTACTCTCTGACTATTGAGTGTGGACCTGTTGCCAGTCTACTTTGGGAGAGAAGGTTTGTGTCCTGATGAAATCCCTTGGGGATTGACCATGCGTGGAAGGAGACAGATCTACCAGCTTGGGTATCACTCTTGGACACCAACTCTTCCTGACCCTGGATGGGTCTATTCTGGAGAAAAAGTTAATCATCACTTGTTCCCAACCTTTTTAAATAGGAGAATTTAATGTCATAACAAATTTGTCAGTCTCCCTTCACATGATAGAAGTTGTACCGTGAGCATTCATTGGCTGAGAAGATCTCTGATCGCAAAAGGACAAGCTTCATTGAATGTGAATCCCTGAGCCCCGTGCAGGAATTCTGCCCCTACCTGCTGGGCTGCCTGGTAGCCCCCAGCCTGAGAACCACTCCTAGAGGTCAAGAAATTCAGGGGTCACCTCGTCCAGTCCTCACCTGAGGCACAAGGCATTTACATAGACTCGCAGAATCTGAGGAGACGAAGGAGACCTTAGTGACCGTCTCGTCTCATCTCGCCTTTGCCTCAGAGGAATCCCCCCAGTGTCCCTGACAAGCGTGATCCTCCATAGTCTGGTCAGAGATGAGCAAGAAAGGGGAGCCCCCCACCAGGCGAGGCTGTCCCCTCCTCTTGGGTTGTTCACACACAGAGCCGACGTTTGCCTCTTCTCCCTCGGCTTCTGGGTCTGCTCTGGGGGGCCAGGCAGAAGAAACGTCGTCCCTCTGACGCCTGAGAGTCTTCAGATCCCCAGCCCCTGTACCCCGTTGGGTCTCCTCCTCCAGACTAAACACACACCATTCTTTCTGGTCATCTTGCCAGGGCCTTTTGCCATCGTGGTCACCTCTGCCTCTGGGGCTCTCCAGCTTTTATTGGTGTTTCCTTCTGCAGCATTCCAGAGGAGGTCTGACAAGGGCAGCAGTTTAGAGAGTCTGCCCCTTCCCTCCCTGGAAATGCAGGCCACACTGCTGACCTGTTGGGCTTGGGGTCCTCTAAAGCCCTTAGGTCGTCTTCTTTTTTTTCTTTTCTTTTAAATTGTCCAACTATGCCTGCCCATTTTGGACTTGATTTTTTTGTAAGACCGATTTACGTTTATCCACATTGAATTTCATCGTAGTAGATGCCGCAGTGCTTTAACCTGTGGAGCTCTTCTTGGATCCTGTCAAGCAGTGTGCTGACTCTTCTTGCCAACTTCATATCATCCCATGAATTGATGAGTGTGCCAGCTCTGCCTTTACACACGTGCTGGTGGAGATGTTCAGCAGCTCAGGGCCAGGCGGACGTCCCTGCTGTCATCCACTCTCGCCGCGTTAACATCAGACCTTGAAGGGTCACTTCTTTTGAGCCACCCATTGGTTGTCTCGCCCATTTTCAGATAGGCCTGGGATTGCTAGTTCCGTCGGTTAAGCTACAACCTGCCACCTTGTTGCTTTCACCCGTCACATCTAGTTCTGCCTCACGGAACCAAGTAGAATGAATCTGTCCCTCGTCTGCCCGGTGACAGTTCAGACATTGGTGGACGACAGTCACGTCTCTCCTAAGGGAGTCTGTGAAGTAGCTAGGAGGTCGCTTGGCGAGAATAGACTATGAAAAGGACATCGGATGTTGCCAAGAGGTTATGTTCCTTACTGTTCTTACAGACATTATAATCTGGATCAGCAGCTCTTGGAGTCCTTGGTCTCTGAGCACCTTCTCTCTTGGGCACTGCTAGAGACTCCTTCCACACTCTCCACAGTCTGCTGCTCTTATATAAAGAGCCTCTGCCTGAAGACCTGCAGCCGTGTCCTGGATTCCTGAACCTCAGTTTCCTTATCTGTAAAAAGGGGTTACTGATGTGCGTACTGTACCAGTCCTGAGAGGCCGGTAGTGTGGGTATTAGCTCTATTTCATAGACAAGGAGACTGAAACTCAGATGAAATGACGTTTAAACTGCACCTTTCTGTGTAATGCTGTTGACACTGTGTGTTCCACAGACTGATTCCAGGGTTCTCTGGATGATGGAAAGAGGACCTTGGGGTGAATATCACCAGGAGGAAAGTTTAGGCCTCAATTCTGCAAATATCAGATCTGTGTGAAAGTCTGCCAGCTGGGAGGGGCATTCGGTCAGGCTGGAGGGCATACTGCCCGGCAGGGATTCCTGCCTGGGAGGAAGCTGCCCCACACACCTGCCGAGGACTGTTCCCTATCTGGGCTTCTCACAGAGTGGGGGATTGGATTCAGAGTGGCAACTTCAGGCTCAGTCTCTTGGGGGGGGGACTTCTTGTACTGCAGGGAATCCTGTCACATGGGCACACGTGTGCCCAACAGCTTCTGTGTAGTTATCTTTTAGTCCAAAGACTCTCGGTCCCTAGTTCGTGTTATTAAAATGTGTTTATTTTCCCTCCAGGGTCGTGCATTGTCCCGAGCAAAATCTCGACGTAACTTAGACTTCCAGGATGTTTTAGATAAGTTGGCTGACATGGGCATCGCAATCCGGGTTGCTTCCCCGAAATTGGTGATGGAAGAGGTAAGGGAGATCTCCATGATCCTTCACGTGACAGCTTTATATTTCACGTCTTTGCATGGAAGCAGCTACAACTGGGAAGCACTTTGGCTGCTATTCATATAAATTGTGTAAATTTTTTAAAACTAGACCGTATTTTGTATTCTCAGTCGCACTCTTAATTTGTGGCTCAGTGTAGAAAGAATCCCTCCTTAGTCTGGTCTGTCATGTATGTGATCCATACACGAGCATATTCCGTGTAAGGTTGCACAAAGTAGGATCATTCTGTAGTAACATTGACAATTCATTGTGAACAAACACCACCATAAAGTTGGGAAGCCCCATGGTAAAGTCACTCAGATGACTCCCCAGTCAGAAGCTTCTTTCTGACCCAGTTAACTGCCTCGTGTAAAAGCCTCCAGCTTTTTATCATCGTTGTTCACTCGTGTCTGTCCGTTTGTTTACTGGTTTGCCATTTCCTTTTCCAGCTCACTTTATAGATGAGCAACATTAAGATTTACCCAAAACAAATTTACCTTGTTTGGGAGGAGGTGAGGTGAGGGCAGGGGAGCTTTTTCTCTTGTTAAATAGTAAGTAGGCTAAAAGAGTGTTGGGGGGTGAGGAGGGGTGTCACAGTTTGTAAATATTGCCTTTGCCATATGTTTTAAGTTTTGCACATAGTCTTTGTAAAGAAGAGTGGGAGGTTTGGTTAGGAGCATGCATTTTCAGAAAGTAGTGTTTATACTCAGGACTCAAAGACTTCCTTTACAAAATTTTAAATCTCTTGTTTTCTTCCCTTCTTAGGCTCCTGAGTCTTATAAAAATGTGACAGATGTTGTGAACACCTGCCATGATGCTGGAATCAGCAAGAAAGCGATTAAACTGAGACCAATTGCCGTTATCAAAGGCTAACGTCCCAGCTGGGCTCAGCTGAGACCGTTGACGTGACCAGACCTGGCCGGACACAGATTCATGCCCTCTTCAGACACCAATTTACTGACCTACCTGATTCAGAATGTGCCTGGCACATCTCACCTTCCGAACTGACTGATCTAATATGGTGAAGAACCACCTCTAGAGAGGCCCGTGCTGAGGAACACATGAACATGCTCATCACCCTGGTGGTCCAGCCACGGTCACTGCTTATGCCTGGCGTGGTCCCATCCTCAGAGTGCTTGAAAACAAGTCCTGTCTTAATGCTAAGTTTTCCTCCCAGTCTGATAGATGGTACAAGCATCGGGACATTCTGTTCCACGGGGGATTTTTCGGGTTCCCTGGCATCATCCTTGCCTGAGGGGTTTACCATCACTGACTTGGGAAATATCCTGGCTGAAGAGTGACTTTGCTTCCTTTTTCTTTTTTCTTTTTGGGTTTTTTTTTTTTTGAGAGGGCTCTATTAGGGCGGGGCAAGTTTAGGGGAGAGAAACAGTGGCAGGAGAGAAAGGCCAGGTGTTTTAGTTTACCATAGCCAGAGCTTCCTTCCTATTCTAAATACAAGGCAAGGTTTGGGGCTGCCTGCTGGCCCAACACCTCATGCAAATGACAGATGGCATTCCTTAGGGCTGGCTCTGTGTGTGTGAGTTCTCTCAGTGATGATGGCTGCAGATGCCCACGTGACTCAGTGGTTGTCTTTGTGATGACTGTATTGGACATGTGGAGTGCTTGGTCCCTGTGGTTAAGTGGGCATGCACTTAACCGTGTAGCTCTGGAGTTAAGTTTGGGCATCGGGCACTGAACTGGGACCACCAAGGGGGTTTGATCTAGTTCTGTGACTTCGAAGGAGCTGATAAGGGGCCATTCATGGTGAATGAATGGCCTGGCACTGAGGCCTTGCTGCATCTGAGCAGCCAGGAAAGGTGGCAGTGTCATGAAACTACCGTAGATTATTTATGCTTTATATGAGAATTGTAGGAGAATTAGCTTATAAAGAAAATGAGTTTTTCCCAGGATTGCCGTCAGGTGCTGCCAGTTTTCTTGGTCTTTTTTTCTGCTTCCAGAAACAGACTTGCCTTCTTACAAAGCTCATCCCCTTCATCATAATTTCACTGAAATACTTCTCCCACCTGTTCTCTACTGGGGAGGTGGGGAGATGTTCGGTGAAGCATGCCTCTCAGGTGAGGTACATGCTTAGGAAAGAGTGACTCCCCACACTTGTCCTGGGAAACAAAACTGACTAACCAACTAATCGATGAGCCACCAGGGGATCGTTTTAGATTACACACGCCTTCAAACCAGACCCACTCCCCCCGGGCAGCTGTGGCACAGAGGAGCAGCCCCACCAGTGGTCACCGGAGGGCACTTCACAGTGAGAAGCCCACGCTGGCGTGGCCAGAATCTCCAGTGTACATCTTGGGGCTTGCCTGGCAACTCATGTTTTTGAAACAAATTCAAAGCAAGAATTTTTACTGTAGCAAACTGACGTCAGTTTGGGGAATGATGGCTTAGCTCATCTTAATGACACAAAATTAACTTTTATTAGACTTTCTGAAATGTATTTCTTTGGTGGTTTGTAGGCATGCTGTTTTCTGGCGCAGTAGAGAAACTGCTCTGCCTTCCCTCGGCCTCCCCATCTGACTTGGGCCGTGTTTAGGTTATTTGTTAGTATTTAAGTTTGTAAGGAAAGGAGCCAGCATTAGGGTTCACTTGTTTTAAAAGGTTTTCTTTGCCTATTCGAAAAACATGACTTAAAATAAATTACCTGAAAATGAAGCCAAAGTGAATGACTTTTTGTTTCTGTGCCGGGTGTGAGCCCCGAGGCATGTCAGGGCACACGCTCACAGCCAGGGAATCCCGGGGTGGGCGGGTTTGGGCACCTCTGTCCAGGAAGGCCACTACCGGCGTCTAGAAGTGAAATCCCCACATGTAACAAATTACTCCAGTCAGAGGATGAGATTCCTCACAGGAACTCAAAGATGAGTAGTGTCAGGTGAGAGAAGGCTGTTAGTGAACCAGAAAACATGCTGTGTACAAACACAAACTCGTACTTGGGCGGAAATTTCTGAAGTTGTCGATAACTAGGTCATTTCTGTTCACTTGTATTTGAGTCTTCATGACGCCATTTGGTGGCAAACACAGCACCTATAGATAGGACATAGTGGAAGTGAGCTACTACGTAGTAAGTGTCGTGGAGAACGATATCGAGTGATGAATTGGCTAGAACAATTCCTGTTAGGCCTCCGATTGTGAAAAGGAAGATTTTCTTGGCAGAGATCCTGGAGTGGTTTGCCATTTCCTTCTCCAGCTCATTTAACAGATGAGGAAACTGAGGCAAACAGGATTCAGTGACTTGCCCAGGGTCACACACCTAGTAAGTGGCTGAGGCTGCATTTGGACTCCAGAAGCTGAGGCTTCACCACTCCAGGCCAGAGTGCTGTGCACTATGGCGCCACCTAGCGGCCCTAACTAGGTCTGACGAACCCCTGCATCTAGTCTCTTTTGTCTTCTGATATTTACATTTGGCTCTCTGAACTCCGTTTTTTACGTTAAATTGCAAAATGAATTTGGAAGAATGTTTTTTCTTGGTCAGTAAACATTAAATGGCTCCTATGTGCCAGGAACTGTGCTAAGCGCTGGGGATACAAAGGGTGCCAAAAGAACAGTCCCTGCTTCCAAGGAGCCCCACATGCCGCAAGCTACATGCATGAGATGAGAAATTGGAAATGATCGGCAGAGGGAGGGCCCTAGCTTAAAGCGGATCGGGCTTCCGTAGAACTTGGTGGAAGTCTGGGAGGCCAGGAGGGAGAGATGAGGGGAGGGGAGTCATAAAAGTTACTTCAAAAATAAAACAAGGCAGGAATAGAGCTGGTCTGGGGCGGGGGGGGGGGGGGGACAGATACCTGATCATACTGGAGGCCCCTCTGGGAAGCCTCAGTTCTCCCTGTGCTGACAGTGGGGATTAGACGGTCACAGGTGACCCTGCCCAAGCCCAGTTTGCTCTGATGGCTGGAATTAAATCATCCACTTTGCCTCTTCCCCAAGAGAAGGGGGAAAAAAGTTCTCATAGCTTAGGAGGGTAATGAAATCCTTAAAGTAGCATTCATGTGATCAGTGAATAATGTGCGTCCTTAACAAAGGCTTCGTGTCAGCACAGACCCCGTGAAAAATCCCCCCTGGCGCTTACCTTTGCAGGGAGCGAAAGGAAGTTAACACCCCCTGGCAACTTCACTTGGAATCAAAATGCTTTGGGTTTGCCAGCCTCACCCATCTGGCTAGCGGCCACCCCAAGCATGGAGGCGTTGGGAAGGAGAGCCACCCACGGGGGCCTCGGTGGGCCTGGAGAGATTGCTCAGCCCAGCGTTAGACGACACGCAGCCCACCTGGACAAGGTGGCATCCTGCATCCAGGACTCATCATGCCTTCCCGTGAATTGTGTCGGGGCCTTAACAGAACGCTTCCCCTTGCGTAGAGGGCTTGACGTACGTTCTGTCTTTGGAGTTCCCAAAATAGTTTTGCAAGGAAGGGACATTTGTTTTTCCTTTTGGTCTGACCTGTGATTTCACTGGAAGAGTGAAATACTCCGATAGGGAAATTCTCCCAATGCAGATCAGCTGCTGCTCAGTAATTTTTAGAGTTGCCTGGGGTGCGAAGAAGTGTATTTCATTTTTTCATCTCTTATTTATTTCATATTATTTATTTTATCTCACTATTTTATTTTACTTTCATTTTATTTCATTTTACTTTTTTATTATTTCATTTATTTTACTTCTATCTATTTCATTTTGTTTTGTTTCATTTATTTTACTTTTATTCATTTCTATTATTTCATTTATTTTACTTTTATCTATTTCATTTTGTTTTATTTCATTTATTTTACTTTTATTCATTTCTATTATTTATTTCATTATTTTATTTTTATTTATTTCATATTATTTCATCTTTCATTTCATTTCATTCTCGGTTTATTACTGAGGAAGTAAAGCTCAGATAGGTAACTTCCACTTGGACGCTCAGAGGTGAGATTCAAACCCAGATCTCACTGACTTCAATCATGTTTAATCTGATGCAAAGGAAAGAATGCTGGGATTAGAATAAGAGGATCATAGGAATAACAGGATGGTAGAGTCCCAAGCTGGAGGGAGCTCCGGCCTCCCCACCCTACTGTCAGCCATTGGCTTGGCGGGGTGCAACGGTGCTCTCTTCCCCTGGAGTGTTATGGCAGCTGTCCTCTGATGGGGGGCTACAGAGCTCTCACCTCCGGGACGATGCCTTACTATGTGCTAAACACCGGGATAAATGCTGGATTCTAATAGACAGTCCCTTCTGTTGTGTGGTATGGCTCATTCTAAGTGAGGGCTCAGCTGCAGAGAGGATGGATGGGCCTGGTGGTCCCAAGGGTTCAGATGGCCAGGCCCAGGGGCTCTTAGGGTGCATCGACAGGTCCTGACTGCTGAGTCTGGGAATCTAAGGGCCCACTTGCAGGAAAAGGGAAAAGCCCTTGCTTTGGGGGAGGGAACTCTTCTTCTGGCTCCATGACTATCTCCTGAATTCTGAGAGCTCTTAGAAAGATGTTCCCTTGGACTCCCCCAGAGCCTCAGCTCTGAGATTGTCAGTCACCTCTGAGCAGGAGATGGGACAGGTCCAGCACCTGCCTACCTCGGCAGGGTTATTGTGAGGATCTAAAGAGACTTTGTTCGTAGAAAAGTGCTTAGCACATACCTGGCACTATAGAAATGTTTATTCTCTCTTGCTCTCCTTCCCCTTCAATAATAATAATAATAGTAATAAGCGGGATTTCTATAGCCCTTTCATAGCTCTTTAAGGTTTACAAAGTGTGTTCATGTGTTGTCTCATTCTATCTACAGAAGAAAGCAACGGCTTGGGGCCAGAAGACCCAGGGTGGAATCGCAGCTCAGTCACTTAGCTGTGTGACCTTAGGAAAGTCACTTAACCTCTGGGGGCCTCTGTCTGTAAAGTAAGGGGCTGAACCAGATAACTTACCAGCTTTCACATCCTATGAGCCTTTTGCAAGGACTTGTTTTTGTGATGAAGCCTCCACAGTTCTGCTTAGCCATCTCTGAGCTTTCTACCCCAGGCTCTCCAGCTCTCCATTTTACCCACCCTGGTTATAGGTTCTCCTTTCTAGCCTCCCCCTCCTGTCAAGGTTTCGGCCAGGGCCCCACCATTGGCATCTTCTCCTTTAAAAGCTGGTGGTCTCACTTTGCTGTTTTGTCTGCTGGCAGGAGACCTAGGTCTTCTGATCAAATCTCTGGCAAAGGGAACTGGGTCTCTTTTAAATGCTTTTTCTTCTTCCAAAACATAAATAAAATGAGCTGGCTCCCCTCCTGCTCTTCAAAGTAGGCATTAACTGCCCTGAGCTCTCTGTGCTCCCTCCTTCCCTCTCCTCTGCTTCCAAAGCCCCCCTCTGCCCTCCCGCCTCCTGCATTCTAGGCTTCCTGCAATAGAGGTTTCAAACCTCTCTCCATCATTGCCTTCCTACTCTGCTATCTCGCAGGCCATCTTCATGTCACCAGCACATCCTTCTAAGAGCTCTCAGATTTCAGGAGATAGTCTTGGAGCACGAAGAAGGGTTCCTTCCCCCCAAAGAAAGGGCTTTTTCCCTTTTCCCCAAAAGTGAACCCTTCAGATTCCCAGACACAGCAGTCAGGACCTGTCAATGCACCCTAAGAGTGTGTGGGCCTGGCCAACTGCACCCTTGGGACCACCAAGCCCTTCCATCCTCTCTGCAGCTGAGCCTCCTGGCCTCCTCACTTAGAATGTGAGCTGCACCACCCAAAAGAAGGGACTGTCTGCTGAAATCCAGCATTTAGCCCAGTGTTTAGCACATAGTAAGCACTTAATTATTTTCATTCACTCATTCAATATTCATTCATTTGTTCCTTATTTCCTTCCTTTCCTCCTGCCTTCCCTCTTTCCCTTCTTTCTTTCTTCCCTTCCTCTTTTCTTCTTTCCTCCCTCCCTCCCTCCCTTCCTCTTTTCCTACCTTCTCCCTTTCCTTCCTCCCTCCTTTTCTGTCTTTCCTTCCTCCTTTTTCTTCCCTTCTTTCCTTTCTTCCTTTCCTCTTTCCTTCTTTCCTTCCTCCCTCCCTTCCTCTTTTCCTACCTTCTCCCTTTCCTTCCTTCCTCCCTTCTTTCCTTCCTTCTTCCCTCTCCTTTCCTTTCTTCTTCCCTCCTTCCTTTCCTCTTTTCCTACTTTCCCCCTTTCCTT